TAGTCATTTAATTTTTAAAAATAAGTGATTAACAGAACTTTCCCTCTCCTCATGTCTCTTCTGGTCCTTCACACCTTCTGCATCCAAGTCACTCTATATTTGGGCAGTACTCAGCATGGGAGGATCAAGTTCAAGAAAACGCACATGATATGAAAAAGAGGTATGCAAAACATGGGCGGCCACTTGGAGTACCTGAAGAGATTAGATTCAGTGATGTTGGATCCCACTTGCCTGACAGATTGTCAAGTTTTAGGAGGTGTCGTTTTTGTTCAACTGCAACGAAGCAGAAACGATCCAGATACCAGTGTTCATCATGCTTAGTGGGACTTTGCATCACTCCATGTTTCAAGAAATTTCATGAGAAGGGACTTGATGCTACATGAAGCCTTGGCATTATCATATCAGTTTGTATTAGTATTGTATTTGTATGTGTTCATGGATGTTGTAGAGCCAGGATTTTGAGTGTTTAGTCATTTCAGCAGTTAGTTTTGAGGCACAAGATTTGTGTTCATGGAGAAATCCGTATCAGATAAAACCATGATTAGCAAACTTAATGAGAAAAAGAATTAAGTAACCCAATGGTACCATCAGCAGAAAATAATGTACCAAAAATATTTAGATGGTTGTATAGGCCATGTTTAGCTCCATGTTTATCATATACAATGTCTGTGACCCCAAATGACATGAAATAAAATATTATATTTTTAGTCACTCAGTATATTTTTTAAATTGATACATTTTCAATCACTGCACCTGATTAAGCTTATGTGCTCAGTAGATACCAATGTGGGTACTATTAGTGATGCAGTACACTTCAAGGCCATATTTAGTTCCATACCTGATACTGGTGAGCATTTCATTGGTAACACAATCTGCAGCTCTGAACTGTTCTTTCATGCAACTCATTCATATTTTGCCTCGCCTTCAACAAAAACCCAAAAGAAAAAAAATTCAGGGACTAGGTCTGGAGAATAAAGAGGCCAGGGAATTGGGCCTGCTCTTCCTGACCAATGATCAGAAAACTCCCCATCCAGAAAGGGACATACGTGGAGGGAGATATGATGTGCTGCTCCATCTAACTGGAAGACTGTTCCTTGAGAAATGTGACACAAGGCAGTGTTTATCATAGCTATGAATGTTTCACCATTCACTGCCAATCCTTCAAGAAAAATATTGTTTTTCATCATAGTGTACAGTGCACCACACATTGACCTTTGGTGATTCATGCTGATGTTCAGTGTCTAGAGGATTTTCACTTCCCCATACATGGCACACGCCTTTTGACTCTCCCATACATATGAAATGTTGATTCATCAGAAAAACTAATTCTGTTAAGGAAGGTCTAGTCTTCAATGCAGGAAAGCATTTCTAAAGCAGACTGTTTTCTTGAATCCTGACCTGTACGTATTATCTTCTGGACCAGCTGAAGCTTGTAGGCATGTCATTTAAAAATTGATTGGTGAAGAGACTAGTCAGGGCTCCTTTTAAATGTTTTTTGTATACATTTGACATGTGCTGGGATGCGATGTGACACGGAGGCCCATTTTGTCACATGACACTCGGTCTCTTTCAGGTGATCATCACGTTGCATCACAGATCTGTAATAAATCAGTGCTTGGTTCAGCTATACCTGATTAAACTTACATTGAACATGGGTGTATGATTTGGACAGTCTACTTCCTGACATGCAAAGTACACCTTCTGTTCAAGTGAAAAAAAAATGGGAAGGCTGTGTGCACATACACCTAGAAGATGACCTTGCCTGATCAAGAAAAACACTTGGAGAGTTGCCACACTGCATGCAGATGTGTGCAGCTTAATTTATTTCATTTTATGCATGTTATGTAATATTTCATTTTACTGTCATTTAAGGCCAGACATTCTGTATAATTTTGGTCCTGGTTTCAATGAGGAAATGACTGTTGTTATTGTTTACAATTATCTCATCATGTTTTAAAGTGTTTTGTAATTGTTCAAATGAAAAAAAATTGCTTGTTCTCTTTTTCAGTTGCCCCCAGTCTGTAAATAGATTTTGTTACCTCACTTGCTGCTGCTACCTGAAAATAACCATTGTTTTGAGGTCATACTTATTACGTTAAAGAGTATTTGTTGAATCAGAGGAAAAGAATAGCATTTATTTAATGAATGATGCTGATCTGGCTTCATTTGCTAGGCACTGCATCGGAGTGCTGAATATTAGTTAGTGGAGATTGAATTTGAGTGGACATACAGTTCTATAGCTAATTATACTGATAATTCCTGAAAGTTTTGTTTGTGAAGTTTACAAAAGGGTAGTATAATTTATAGGCTCAAATTGCACATTACATTGAAGTTCTTGGAAATAGTAAGTACAGGTTATTGGTGTGAATTTGGTTGAATATGATGATTGTACAGTAGTTGTTGAGCAAGATATTTTAAAAACTCTTACTGGAACATGCTTAAACCCAAGTTCTGCTTGTCCTAGTCTGAAAATCATGTCTCTCACCTGAAGAAATTGTTTGTATTCTGATTTTTTTAAGATGGATTTAGAGAACTTAAGTTCATATTTTATGTATAATGTATTATTGGTTTGATGAAAACTGATTTTTTTCATAAAACTTTGCATACCGTGTAGTGTATTAGAATATAGAGTGAACAAACCAACAACTATTAACACTATAATGGACACTATTGTCCATTATAGTGTTAATAGTTGTTGGTTTGTTCACTCTATATTGAATTTTTTCAGTTTCAGATTACTCCAGTATGAAGTATCAGTTGTTGACTATCATAGTAGTATCTCTATGTTCCATGGGTGCACAATGAGTTTAATAGAAATGAAGCAGTGGTGTGTTCTTTTTATTAATAATTTATGTTTTAATAAGGGACCTACTCTGTTGACATCAGGACTAGTGTTTAAATAATTTGTACTAGGTATTTGTAAAATTAGTGCAGTGGTACAAGTAAAGTGAATCTTCTTGTGATCATTTGTATTAATTAGAATGCTTGCATAGATAAGTCTGACTCATGGTGTGAACAGAAATTAAAATAATTTGTTCGTTTTCTGTGTGGGAAGTTCTTAACGTTAATAAAACAAGTGTGAATATTTTATAATGATTTGTAGTTTGTGAGGAACTTGGTTTATTGAAAATGACTGAATTAGCTTAGTAATACCCAAACCCATGACCTTCCCTCTCCTCTTAAGGGAATCAATCATACAGCTGAATCATGTATGTTCTTAAGGGTGATATTCAGTGTATTACTTAAGAGTGTAATGTTAAATTGAGCTTTTTATCTGCCCATTCTTTTAATCAGTGATAGAAATATTTTCTCTAATTTTGAATAAACCATGCATGGACTCATTTTCTTTAACTGAACTGTTTAAAAATGCATTTTATCCATTGTCATAAGGATATAGGAGTTTTGTACCCCTGTACTACTGTGCTACTGGCAGGACTTTAATTTTTGAGTAAATGGTATAATAATATGCTACTCTGTTGCACAACCAGGTGAAATGTGTAGGATGTGAGGTATGAGCTGATAATGATTAAATTAAGGGTGATGTTATGTCATTTTATTATACTTCTTTTGGGGGGGGGGGGGG